TTGCGTCCTTCCCAGTCCTGCTCTCTATAGGGCTGTGAAGCAGGGAGGCCCCACAGCACCCCCTGCCCCCACCCGCCATGGCTTGGCTGCTAAATGATCAGAGAGGGAAGGAAAGTGGTTGCTGTCGGGCACTGGGGGACTTGTTGGCTGCTACTTGGCAACAGGTTGGCTGGGCACTGGAGGGCACAAACAGGGTATTGAAGAATGACCTCCAGCCGCACTGGGGCATCACAGCCCCGGGCCCTCTACCTTTCAGGAGGGCGGCTCCTGAACCGCTATGAATAAGATGCACCTCCAGCAAAAGAAACTACCATCAGAGTGAACAGGCAACCTACAGAATGGGAGAAAATTTTGACAATCTACCCATCTGACAAAGGGCTAATATCCAGAATCTACAAAGAACTTAAACAAATTTACAAGAGAAAAATCAAACAATCCCATAAAAAAGTGGGCAAAGGATATGAACAGACACCTCTCAAAAGAAGACATTTATGCAGTCAACAGATGCATGAAAAAATGCTCATCATCACTGGCCATCAGAGAAATGCAAATCAAAACCACAATGAGATATCATCTCACACCAGTTAGAATGGTGATCATTAAAAAGTCAGGAAGCAACAGGTGCTGGAGAGGATGTGGAGAAATAGGAACACTTTAACACCATTGGTGGGATTGTAAACTAGTTCAACCATTGTGGAAGACGGTGTGGCGATTCCTCAGGGATCGAGAACTAGAAATACCATATGACCCAGCCATCCCATTACTGGGTATATACCCAAAGGTTTTTAAATCATGCTGCTATAAAGACACATGCACACTTACGTTTACTGTGGCACTATTCACAATAGCAAAGACTTGGAACCAACTCAAATGTCCATCAATGATAGACTGGATTAAGAAACGTGGCACATATACACCATGGAATACTATGCAGCCATAAAAAAGGATGAGTTCATGTCCTTTGTGGGGACATGGATGAAGCTGGAAACCATCATTCTGAGCAAACTATTGCAAGGACAGAAAACCAAACACCGCATATTCTCATAGGTGGGAATTGAACAATGAGAACACTTGGACACAGGGTGGGGAGCACGTTGTGCACATGTACCCTAGAACTTAAAGTATATCTATTAAAAAAGTTCAGTTTGAACAAATAGTGACCAAAAAAAAAAAAAGGTGCCCCTCCCAAGCCCATTCCAGGTTCTAACCAGCTGCCCAACGGGGCTCTGAGGGTCAGGCCAGGCCCCTTTGCTCCTCATCTTCTCCATGTCTCTCTCTCTGTAAGGTAATTTTGGGACAGACGCTGTCCTTGAGTAAACCTTCTATTATTCTTTTAAAAATGCAGTTGTTTACCGACAGGAACATTGCCCCCAGCTTCTCCTACTGAGGGACACAAAAGAGACTCACCACGGGGCGCCTCTCTTCATCCCTCCCTGAAACGATCAGGAATTAAACATCCTTTAGAAGGCCTGGGGCCTGCAGACCCCTGGCTCCCGCCAGAGTCCCCATCTGCTGTTCAGCCTACAGGCGGCCCCGGGGAAGCTGCTGTCCTCTCGTCCATTCTGCTGGGACTGCACATTTTCCTTCCAAGTTCAGCCTCCGTGGTAAACAGGAGACGCCAGATTTCTTTCCGTCCTCCGTCCCCACCCGTGTCAACTCACCCGGCAGATGTTTCCCACTTGTCTTTCCTCCCACCAGGCCAACAAGGTTTTGAATCAGAGGAGGGAAAATGTAATTGCAGAGAGAAGTCAAACATCTTTAACCTTTAAAGGAGACATGTCGTTCATTTATTCAGTGAGCACTTTCTGTGCGCTGTGTTGGGATTTGATGAAGCCTGAGGACCCTGCCCTCAAGGCACTCACAGTCTGCTGGAAAGGATAAGAAGAACATGGATGGTGGGCGCTGTTGAGTGGCCTCCTGGCCAAAGTTGGGGGGTGGGCACTGAGGTAAAGAGGGACAGGAGCTAAGGAGAAGAGCTCCCAGGAGGGGTCTGGGAGGGGAATCACACGTTCCCTAGCAGCAGAAGGAGAGTGGGGAGGGGAAGGGTTTCCATGCGGGGGACACGTGCCCCAAGCCACAGAAGAGCAAGGAAGTGGGTCATGCGGGAAAAAGGGAGGAGCTGGACTCGATGCACAGGGCAAAGGAGGCCAGGTGGAGCTGGGGCTGGAGGCCGGCCTTGAGTGCAGGCTACCGTGGCACCTGAGGACTTTTTAAAAAAATTTTTTGAGATACAGTCTCACTCTGTCACCCAGGCTGGAGTGCAGTGGTGTGATCTCAGCTCACTGCAGCCTCCACCTCCCAGGTTCAAGTGATTCCCCTGCCTCAGCCTCCTGAGTAGCTGGGGCTACAGGCGTGCACCACCGTACCTGGTGAATTTTTGTATATTTAGTAGAGATGGGGTTTCACCATGTTGGCCAGGCTGGTCTCGAACTCCTGACCTCAAGTGATCTGCCCGCCTCGGCCTCTAAAAGTGCTGGGATTACAGGCATGAGCCACTGCGCCCAGCCTCCTGAAGGATTTTGAGCAGGGGTGTGATGCAGTCAGACTCAGGACTCAGACAGAAGGCAGCCGGAGGCAGCGGACTGGCAGCAGGGGTAGCAGCGGGAGGTGACAGTGGAGGTGAGAGGTGGGTGGGCCTAGATGGGGGCAGGTCAGGAAGACACAGGGTCGTGAAGGGGACAGGTGAGGGCACTGTGTGTTCTGGTGGGCAGCGGTGTGGGAGCAGGGAGGCATACGGGCCTCAGACTCCACCGGGAGCCCAGGCCAGGGCTCTGGGCTGCAGTCAGCTGGCTGGGACAAGCCGCATCTTGGCCCTGAGAGTGGGGTCCTGTGCAGGTACCGGGGCAAGGGCCTGGGAAGTAAAAATACACACATGTGCTCATGTACACACACACACGCACACACGAGTGTGCAGATGCAAGTGCACACACACAGTTGGGGGATAATAACAGACATTTATGGAGTGTTTACTTTGTGTGAGGCGCTTCCCTTTTCTAAGTACTTTCCATGCACGAATTTAATCCTCCCCTCCTCATTTTACAAATGAGAACACTGAACTTTGGTGAGAGCATGCAGTGCACTGTGGGCGCCACTGGTGACGGCAGAGCTGGATCCCAAACCTGGTGGCCTGACTGCACAGCTGCATCACAGCTCGGAGGTGAGGCCCAGAGAGCAGACACTCCCCTCGTGGGTGGGGGTTGCCTTGCAGAGTGGGGGCTGGCCTTTGGGTCTTCATGCTTTCCAGCACACCGGCTGCCCGTCTGAGAAGTGGGTCCTCTTTTTCTTAAACCAGTGTGAGTGCCTTTCACACCCCTTCTCTCCTGTTGTTTGATGGGTTTTAGGTGTGCAGAACCAGATTATACACAATCCTTGTTCATGACCCTCTCAGTGTTGGTCCACACAGGAGCCTTTTCTGCCCTCCCTTCTTCCTTCCTTCCTTTCTTCCCTCCCTCCCTTCCTCCTTTTCTTCTCCCTTCCTTCTTTCTTCCTTCCTTCCTTCCTTCCTTCCTTCCTTCCTTCCTCCCTCCCTCCCTTCCTCCTTTTCTTCTCCCTTCCTTCTTTCTTCCTTCCTTCCTTCCTTCCTTCCTTCCTTCCTTCCTCCCTCCCTCCCTTCCTCCTTTTCTTCTCCCTTCCTTCT